ACATGTTTCGAGACAAGATACACAGACGTAGGCATGTACACATATATACATACACACACTGAGACGTATATTAACGCTTTACAGCGGGATTAGAGAAATTAGGATATTATAATTTTATTATAATATTGTAAATATCAATTATATACATACACACATTCAGTATAATCTGTATACTGTATTTAGTATACACTACATAATCCAGGACATGCGCACACAATACATATATAGATCTATACGCAGTCATATCAATTTACACACAAGGACGCACCCACATGTATATGGACAAACATATACGCATACAGACGTAGATATACATATACAAACTCATGCACACACATTGTCATGCAAATTCCGTACATAAATACACACAAATGTACATTGAGCGGTATACAACACGTAAAATATACACACAGTGCCATGGATAGAAACACATTCGCGCACACGGTAAGGCACAAACATATTGTCATAGTTATTTGGTTCTTTCGGTTAAGTCACGTCTAAAGATAAAATAATAAATTAAATTAAATAATAGCATACGACGTTTCGATTGCAAAACGTCGTATGCTATTATTTAATTTAATTTATTATTTTATCTTTAGACGTGACTTAACCGAAAGAACCAATTAATAATTCCTGCAGTCACGAAAGTTCTAAAATTAAGATATTGTCATAGGTACATATATAGAGATAAGACACAGTGACATGGCCTTGCGGTAGCACGTTCCCTGCTTGTTACTAGGGATTCCCGGTTCGATTCCACGAGGCCGCCCCGGTTATTACTGTGGAGTGTATTCACAATCGATACGCACGGTTTCCTTCACAGTATACTTTAAATACCCACATTAGAAACGAGTTAGGCGCATTGCGTGCCGACGCCACGGTACAAATGTTGCCAAAATTCGAGAGAAGTAATCCATTTGGGATATCACGCAGCAGCAGCAATCAACCCACCCTCCTACTGGCAAGACGAATACCCACTTGCAGGTCGCATAGGGACAGCTGCCACTAGGGGTGCCTTTCGAATTGTTTCTGACATCACAATATGCATTTACGGTGGAGGAATCCGATGATCTATGAAGCTCTTGGTCACAGATGTCCGGTAGCCAGTTTGAGAGATGTCACGTGATGCAATTTTAAAAATAAATTTAACCAAGCGCCATGAACATGCAAATAAGATCATGTATTATTATACACACAAGACAAAGATCCCCCATATAGCCTTAATAGACTGTAGGGGCAACTGCTGTTAGCGAGCACCTATGAAGGCCGGAACGGTACACAAGGGTGGTGGATGACCAGCACCACGCCCGACCGCCTTTGTCTCCCTAGTGGCAATGTTTACACATTGCACCAGGTACTCATTTTAGGCTGAGTCGACCTAGGGGAGGCCCAGGACCGGTTCAGATAATCGTCACTGGTGTTGGCCGTGAGCGGGAATCGAACCCGTGTCGCCGGATTCATAGCGCAGCGCGCTAACCGCTACACTACCGCTCCCCACACACAGACATTAACACAAACAATGTATATATATATGTATATTGCCTATGCTCATGTTGGTTCAAAAGGCGGTTTCTCCCGTGTAGCGCTGCGTAGACTCTGGGGAGGTGCTGCGTCTGCGAGCACCAATGAAGGCCGACACGACGGACACAGGGATCGTTTCGACCGCCTTTGTCTCGCCAGTGCTGTCGATTTTGCACATCGCACTGTCGCTCATTTACGGCGGAGTCAACCTATGTGAGAACAACCACGATCTGCTCATATATATTTAACACTCGCCACGGATGTGAACCCTGGTCCGGAATTGAACCTGGGTTAACAAAAAAAGCCCGGGTCCTTCGGGCAGTGGCATTAACCACCGCTTTCCCATCAGCACCCCAATACACGCGCAGAACTTTCACGCAAATGAGCGGCACGTACACACAGGTACGCACCCGGCTCGCTTCGATGACGGGGATATACTGAAGTTGTTTGGCCGTGTAAGCGTGTGTCATTGATTAGCGGAGCAGGGGACGCAGTGGTTAGCGCGCTACGCTACAAACCCGGTTGACGATGAGCAACAGCGACGATTATCTGAACCGGTCCTGGGCCTGCCCCCCCCCCTAGGTCGACTCAGCCTCAAATGAATACCTGGTGCGATGTGTAAGCATCGCTACGTGGGGAGCCAAAGGCGGTCGGGTGTGGTGCTGGCCATCCACCGCCCTTGTGTACCGTTCCGGCCTACATAGGTGCCCTGCTTGTTTCAGTGGATACACACATAGAGTACTTACACAGACGATACACACTTAAACGTAGATACACATTGAGTACTGACACGTAAATACACACAAAAGCGCAGAGCATCGCCAACAGCGTAGGTACATGGATATTTAAACAATAATGGTAATATTTCCTTTATTTATGCGCTTACAATTAGTAAGATACTGATTCATCTTCTTGGTTCTTTCGGTAAAGTCACGTAGAAGGGAAATAATAAAATAATAAAAATAAGAATTATTTTATTGGTTTATTTGTATTATTTTATTATTTATCTTCTACTTGACTTTACCGAAAGAACCAAGAAGATGAATCCCTGCAGTCACGGAAGCTTTAAATCGAACGATACTGATTTATAGTCTGCGCATTATTTGGCATCATTCCGTGAGAAAAATTATGTCCGCCCTATGTGCAACATTGAGCACCCGCTCCATATACAACGTGGATATCACAACAGTGTATGGATACACGCGGTGACGATGCATCGTTAAATCAACACATTGCCCCACGCTGTCATTATTGCCGCAGTAACGCACATCGAGGGATAAACTGACCATTTCATTAATTCCCAACAACGTTCGAATGTACAGCGTTAGAAATCAACGCGTCTTTGGAGTGTGTAATGGAAGTGTCATTTCAACACTTTGAGCGTGCGGGTGAGACGGTATGAATTCTTCACCAGCACACGCGCATCTCCATAGGCTAATAAGGCACGCGGTCTCACACGTGGTACACGTGAAGGGTGAACGGAACAACTTTATATTTCAACGCAATACGTCGTTTAAAGTTGTTGTTTTCGTAATTTAAACTCTCTGCGTGTGAAAATAATTAATCCCGCACAATATAGCAATTTTATAAGTGCTACTTTGATTGTTAAGACTTCAAATATACATTTCGCATTTACAACGTATGCAGTATATAATGCACGTGTTTATGCATTAATAAACACAGCTAGATTATATATACACACACACATGTACATGTTCTCATCCTGCAGAACGTCACATTAAATGATCATACACGGTTAACGTAACAGAATACATGATGGTTTTTTACAACATTTAAATCATAGCTCTCATAAAATCCACATTCACCCGTCAATTAATAAAAAAAGTACATAATGTGAAAAACACGCGATAGAGAAGGGGACTGTATATATATAGTCATATCTATACTGTATATCAATCATACTGTAAAGGATAGTATAGTTTACATACATAGACGATAGAATATAAGTTAATGTTTACAAAAAATACACTACAATCTGTACACACGCACACATATATATAAAATATATGAACGCTATTGGCGTCGATGATTTAACTTCTGCCCTGTTAACCAGAGGGTCTTTCTCCGACACTGAACGCGGCGATGAACCGATTGAAATGGGCTCTTCTCTACTCGAGGCACTCAGGAACCCTGTTCGCAATTAGGTCATTAATTAAATACAATAATAACAACAACAACAACCATACCGCCGGTTGTCCGCCGTATATTTGAAGACTATCCGCAGTTGATCATTCGCAAAAAAATGTCGTGCCCCCATTCAATAAAATACGTTGATTTGATGTTTACTGTTTAACGTGTCAACGTTTTTAAAACATCGAATTACCAATTCCCTGAGTTGAACAGTACTATACTCACGTAGGTAAAACATAATAATAGAAATAAAATAATAATAAATGAAAATAAATCAATTTATTATTATTATTTTATTTCTATTATTATTTTTATTTTTTACCTACGTGACTTTACCGAAAAAACCTACTAAGAGTATGAATCATTGCAGTCACGAAAGCTTCAAATCTAGAAGTAATATAATCATTTATACAAGCTGTGCTCTATAGTGTGAATTGCTAAGGTATTTCGAAACGAATTATTGTAAATCACTCATGGGCAATATATAGTACAGTACAAAAGGTATAGTTCATACACAGTATATACTTACATTATAAATTACATTCAGTACCATAGATACACGCAGCGCATACCCACACACTCTACACATACAATTACAAATATATGTAACACCATACTATAACAGTACGTACAACACACAGTAACCACACCGTATAAAAACACAGTACCACAACGTATATTAACAGAATACCAAAACAGTACCACACAGTACCATACACACCGTGCAATGATTATCCTGTACATACTTCCAGGCACACGCTAGCCGCCACCACCACACACACACACGATGGTGACATTGCAATCGAGTCAGTCACAGCCTTAGCAATCGATAGGCAGGAGTCGGTGGTATTATTGACGGGGGGAGAAGGGGGGAGAGTCAGGGACGAGGTGAATGCTGTTGGGGGTGACACTGAACACACGCGGGTGACAGGGCCATGTGGTCAGCTGGCTGAGTGACTCATTTGTCTGACTCGTGTGGCTAAGTCACTCGCTCGTGGCTTGGTTGCAGCTAGCTGACTCTACTGGCGCTCTGACAAGAGTTTGGGTGGCTTGGCCGACTGGCTAAGTGGCTGGTTTGCCTGTCTGGCAGGCTGGCTGGCAGACGATGGGGGTAGTCGTGTTAGCTTACTCAGCAGTGCGTGGGTCCGCTGACGTTGGGTCGCTTGATTGGCCCTTAACAGCCTCATTCTCTTTAGCCTCCACAATAACCACCCCCCTCCCTACCCGGCTGGCATAACCTCCCTCCTCAGCCCGTCTCCCCTCCCTCCCTTCCTTCCCTCTCTCCTGCTCCTCCCCAACCCCCATGCTAACCACTTGAAGGACCGTTCTCTGGCACAACATTAAGGCGGGCCGGTGCCTTGTGTGTGTGCGTGTGTAGCTGCAGTCCTGCCATCCGCGCGCGGTGATAAGTGGCCGGGTTACACGGAGTGCCGACTTAAACGCATCAAACGCACACGGAAAAAACACGCGCGCGCACGCACATTCATGCACAGGTCGTGTGCGCACATCTTACACGCAGAGGAACACACGCACAGCGGCACGCGTCAACAACACTCCGAAAGGGGGTCGTCGAGAGAATTCCGCTGGCGTGCAAGGGGTCTTCTCAAGCCGTCTCGCCATCACTCGGCAAGTTGCAGCAGCGTGCAAATTTTCGTCCATTAATCGGTATTCGTTGCTTTTTGGGGCAAAAAAAAAAGTTTAAGCCTTCGCCGCTGTTGGTGGCCGCTCACGGTCGGTGGTGGGTGTTTGATCATCCTGCACTTCATGCCGATGATGGTGGTGGTGGTGGTGTCAGCGCGCTTGTCGCTGGAGGTTTTTGGAGGTGATGATGGTGGTGGTGGCGCTTCGGTGTTGGTTTTTATTGATGGTACCCACATTGATGAAGTTGCTTCTCATTGCGTTGATGCCATTGTTCTTGGTGGTGGTGATGATGTCGTTGGTGCTGCTGATGGTGTCGACGTTGGTGCTTCTTTCGTATGACTGCTGCTGGTGTGGATGGCAGAGCAACAACTCCAGTGTCATGTGCAGGTGGTGAAGCCAGATCACCGGAGTGTACCGCTGTGATGTCTCTCCCTCGTGTTTGTGGATCGGGGCAATGCGTCGTTAACGCGCTGTACGGCCCGTTCTGGATGACCACAGTCGCACGCTGTCTGGAGAGTTTTCAATTTCCCATTTGTGCATCAGGTATCCGCACCTGCCCGGTGTAGTGCAAGTGTTGTCAACACTCCCTGGCGGTGATTGCGATGATTGTGTTGCTCCTGCTGCTGCTGGTGTTAACGACGTAAATGCTGGTTGTGATGGTGTTCACGTTGTTTCCGATCGTTCTCGTGATGGACAAGTTACATACCTGTCAACCCCTTATCAGTGCCGACCTTATTACATACCTTATTGGTCACACCGTGCTCTTATGAATATCAACGTTCATCCGACGTCACAAGGAAGAAACACAAACAAGCCAAAACATATTTTTAAACTCCATTCCCCTACACAAGAATAGGGTAAACCATATGGGGTTGACAGCTATGAACTCAGTGGGGTGGAAGACTCTTGCCGCTAGCTTTGGTGGTGGTGGTGGTGTTGTTGATGGTGTTGGTGTTGATGGTGTTGGTGTTGATGGTGTTGGTGTTGATGATGGTGTTGATGGTGTTGATGGTGTTCGTGAGATGGTGGCTGGGTGAAGGCGCAGTGTTTGTGCGAGTACCCGTGCTGCTCGGCGATGCTATCGGCGCCGGGTGAAGGCGAGTGTCCAGTGCTGGCGATGTTGCTGCTTTGCCGGCGCTGTTGGTGCCCTTACCGCCGCTGCCGAGATAGTCGATGTTGCAGTTTACATCCTGGGCGTGAGCATCGTGTGCGATGGCGCAGCAAACCAGGGCTCCCTTCCTGCGCTGCCGTTTGCGCGCGTTAGCACCGCTGGCGTCGATGTTATTGCTGCTGCTGGCGTTAGTGACCGACGATGCCCCACGGGTGCCAATGTTCCCATGTCCGAGGGTGTCAGCAAGCTCAAGCTTCTGAACCACTGCCGCTCTGCTGTCACCGCTGTTGCAAGTGTCAGCGCTTTCGCTGCTGCTGCTGCTGTTGTCACTGCTGCTGTTGCTAATACTACCGGTTGGTCGCATTGTTTTAATAGCTGCCGCTGTTGTTGCTGTTAGTTATGGTGAGTGCCGTTCATGCCGGCGTTAGTTGCCGATGTTCGGGTGACGAGACGAGGGTGTGACGGTGGGCGACAGCGCAGCGCTCGCTACTGCTTCCGATGGCAGCGGTTCTGCTGCTGCCTGGTGATGTGTTTCATGCCTGCTGTCCATGCTGTTGTTACTGCTGTTGTTGGTGACCCCTTTGTATTTCGTTCTTGTGCTGCTGCTGCTGCTGGCTCCGCTGTATTTCAATCCCGGCTGTTGCCGCCGCTGCTGCTGCTGCTGTCACTGCGACTGCTGCTGTTTGCCCTGTGTGCTGTTGCTGGCTGCGTTGGTATTTAATCCATCTCTGCTGGTGGTGGTGCTGTTCCCGTTGTCTGCTGCTGCTGCTGTTGCTGCTGCTGCTGTTGCTGCTGCTGTGGCTGTGGCTGCTGTTGGTGTTCCCGTTGCGTGCTGCTGCTGTTGCTGCTGCTGTGGCTGTGGCTGCTGTTGGTGTTCCCGTTGCGTGCTGCTGCTGTTGCTGCTGCTGCGGCTGCTGCTGCTGCTGTTGGTGTTCCCGTTGTCTGCTGCTGCTGTTGCTGCTGCTGTGGCTGTGGCTGCTGTTGGTGTTCCCGTTGCGTGCTGCTGCTGTTGCTGCTGCTGTGGCTGTGGCTGCTGTTGGTGTTCCCGTTGCGTGCTGCTGCTGTGGCTGCTGCTGCTGCTCACGGCCCGTACAGCCATGGCGTGTGGAAGCCCGCAACAGGGCAGCGCCAAGGCCACTCAGCTGTCGCCCAGGGCCAGCGCATTCTCCATCGCGGCGCTCATGGCCAGGAGTCCGGCGGGCAGCAGAGGCGGCCGCGACGGGGCCACGCGCGGCACCATCGCAGCCCACGGTGAGCGTTGGACACCCGTGGCGAGCGCGCTCGCAACGCGAGAACGTTCACCATCGCCCGCACCGGAGAGGGTTCACCATCGCTCACAACGCGAGCGCGTTCACCATCGCCCACACCGTAGAAGGTTCACCATCGCTCACAACGCGAGCGCGTTCACCATCGCCCACACCGTAGAAGGTTCACCATCGCTCACAACGCGAGCGCGTTCACCATCGCCCACACCGTAGAAGATTCACCATCGCTCACAACGCGAGCGCGTTCACCATCGCCCACACCGTAGAAGGTTCACCATCGCTCACAACGCGAGCGCGTTCACCATGGTTCGTCGTCGTTCCCTGGTCGACGATTGGACCAGCCGGTGGTAGAAATTGCACCCTTTTACTGTGATGTGCAGGGTGTTCCAGATGTCTTGTGGCCCCCTAAATTAATCGACCCCGAACTTTTGTTTTCCTTTGCAAATGCATTTCTGTTTAAAATGAAACTTCCTTGATTTTTTTTTAAGTTTTTGAAAATTAAATGGGGGGGGGGTCACAATACATCCGGACCACCCTGTACTGCGTGGCTCTTAGGCAATCGCACAGCGGCCAATGTTGGATTTGCCAACAAGGCGGTACTGTATTTTACCGACCAGCGGGGGGGTGATGGCCTTGAGTCGAACTCCGAGCTGGAGTTGAACTCGCGACCCTCAAAATGAAGCCACGTGGATTGGGGGAATTGACGATGAAAATGCGACAACCACTGACCATAGTTGACAATGTTCGCCTATGTATATACACATACAATATTATCTTCGGCTCATTGCGTCTTCTTCCTAAGATCAAAGTCGCCGTCAGAACTTTAGAGGCTGAGCAGAGTCGTGTCCGGTTTAGTACTCGGACGAGAGACTTCTTGGGCAAACACCGCGCGCGAAGACCCAGCGCACACGCGCATCCGTTTCGTCTGCGAAGATGGTAGGAGAGCGACGGGATCGTTGAATCCATCTGTGCGGAGTTCCTTTGGTAGTCGTTACACCAGCCCACACCCCCTCGCCCTCGCAATGCGTGTGAGCGTTTCCGTGTGAGCGTTTCCGTGTGAGCGGGTGACACATTTCGTTCCAAGAAATCGCTGCAGACATCGCAGTGAGGCAGGGACCCCAGCCCCCCTACTGAATAAAGATTCTCGTGACATAAGTAAACAACAACAACAACAACAACGTTATATTCGGAACAAAATCCGAGTCATTTAAACAATTCGTTTTAGGTGTTGACGTTTTCTTTGACGGATATAGGGCAGCGTTACATTGCTTTATGACACAATATATATTTTTGCTGTCCTTTTTAAGGCCAGTGTTATTTACGATTGTTTTTGTTGTTTATATGATGCTATATATTTTTTTACAGTAGTGTGATGCAGTAGCAAAGCGCCTCGCTCACAGATTTAAATATGCATGTTTAAATGCTTCAATCTTGATTTGAAACTTTCGTGACTGCAGGAATCCATACTCTTTGATTATTTCGGTAAAGTCACGTAGGTGACTTTTGTTTTATTTTAAATGCTTCGTCCAAGGGGTAGTAGGCTCGACACTTCACGCCTTCCTTGGTCAATTGAGATGTGTGCAATTTCGTGGGGGGAACCGACCCTCCCCTACGGTGTTTTCTCTGTGGGTAAACTTCTCCCGTCATAGCAACGTGTAGACTTCACGAGAGGCAATGGACGGATCAAACCGCTGCCTCGCCGCTCCACCCGAAATTGACGTTCGCTGCGCATGTAAAACTAAATCAGAACGATTTTATTTACATCGCGTAGAGAGAACATTTCCCCTTGACAAACACAGTACTTTGCAAAGCACGCTGAGTTAAACGCCAACGTATTTCGTTTCGATATATTGTACAGTCCTAAATAATATAATAATAAAACAATTGTTGTAAAACATTATGACGGATGAACTCGCGTAACCGTTCGATAATATTCGTGTCAGAACAATCAAATACACGTTCACTGGGCGTACAGTCGGATCCACGTGTTCACTGTGTATACAGTCGGATCCACGTGTTCACTGAGTGTGTTCACCGTGTGTACAGTCGGCTCCACGTGTTCACTGTGTGTTCACCGTGTGTGTACAATAATTTTTTGTTCGGGGTGAATCGGTACTGGTTCGGGTAGGGTCCAGGTCGGGTACAATCCAGGTCGGGTGATGTAAGATATAAAATATCTGTTTTAAACTAAACTGTGAAGCAATGTTTTGATTTAAAGCTTTCGTGACTGCAGGGATTCATATTCTTGGTTCATTCGGTAAAGTCACGTAGAAGGTAAATAAGAAAATAAAAAAATATATAAAAAATAAAAATTCTCACGACGTTTCGACAGCAACACAAGCAATCATCATCAGGTGTGAAATCCACAGCAATAAAATTTGAATTTTTTTTGAAAAACAATTTCTTGCTGTGGATTTTACACCTGATGATGATTGCTTGTGTTGCAGTCGAAACGTCGTGAGAATTTGTATTGTTTTATATCTTTATTATTTCATTATTTCCTTTCTACGTGACTTTACCGAAAGAACCAAGAATGTGAAACAATGTGTTTTTTATGCCAGGTAAAAGCCCACTGAGCCATAATAGCTCTTGTTCAGAAGAGACCTGGCCACAAATGATAGCTCAACGAAATGGCTCATCGTGTGGACATTTATAGCAGCCAAATACTCTAAACGCATGTTTCTAAATATGGATAGAACCCACGACCTCCTGCATACCAGGCGAGGGTAGTTGTGGAAGGTTCAGCGAGGCTGGGTGACCCCCCAGCATACTCATCATTGTGCCTAGAGGGTTGGTGAGGATGTAAGGGGGAATTGTTATTTGTATATATATCGAAATATATATCGAAATGTTAGTTGGTAGTTTTATTTATATATATTTAATATAAAGTGATTTGTTTACCTGTCCTATATTCATATTCTTTGGGTCTTTCGGTAAAGTCACGTAGATATAAATAAAATAATAAATAAGTCAAGATTTTGCCTCTCCTATACTTTGCACTCATATAGTTTATTTTTGTATGTATTGTAACGTACTGACCTGCTCCTACTGGAACATCTGTGAAACGTCACTTCATAGCTCATCGGATTCCTCCGGTATAAATAAATATTCTGATTCTGAAATACTCCTCTCGACTGACGTTAGCCGTGACCGGGAGTCGAACGCGGGTGGTTGGGTTCATAGCGCAGGGCACAACCATTCTGAAAGCGCTCCACCCCATCGTGTGCGTTGCACTTGGGACTATGAGTAGCCAATATCTGTATGGGATGAAACAACTGGTTATACATTTAACGTGGCCCGGAATCACTGCTGAGAACGCTAATTGTTGCTCACACACCTACCGCGGTACACGCTTTATACTTTTAAATAATGCATTCTTGCAAAAGTCACGAACAAGAGGACAACAGATTTAAGTCACCAAGCGCATTGGTTCAAAGGAAATACGAATGCGAATTTCGAAAAAAAGTAAAATATCGCCTTCTGTTATTGTCGACACGGTGCGGTGTTTAATCGAGTTGCAAGCCTGTTAGAGAGACCGGTGTACACGTGGAGTGGAGTAACGCGGGGGTTTGCGAACGGTGTTTGCACGCACGTGCGAGTTACGAACAGCGAGGTAGCATCAGGGACGAACAGGTGCGGAGAGAGAGAGAGAAAGCGACGGCAAGGAGACGGCCAATGAAGATGCAGAGCGGTGATTGACTGGCTGCAAATGCAGGCGGCGAAACAGGCGCCAGGCTGACGGGAGATTGAGGCGATAGCGGCAGAAGCCACGGGGCGTGAGAGGACGGGGAGGTCGCCGGCTGAATTAGAGAGGAGTTACTGAGGAGGACGAGGATACATACGGGAGCGTGTGAGGAGAGAGTTGAGTTGGTCGGAGTGAAGACAAGAGGGAAGACGAGAGAAGTCGAAGGCCCCGCTCGCCACACTTTGCCCTCTCCAGCGGTGATGGCTGAGCCCCCACTGGAGGCAAGGACGAGGTTGGAGAGGCGAGGGTAGAGAAGCTAGCGGTAGATAAGCTAGCAGTAGAGAAGCTAGCAGTAGAGAAGCTAGCAGTAGAGAAGCTAGCAGTAGAGAAGCTAGCAGTAGAGAAGCTAGCAGTAGAGAAGCTAGCAGTGGAGAAGCTAGCAGTAGAGAAGCTAGCAGTAGAGAAGCTAGCGGTAGAGAAGCTAGCAGTAGAGAAGCTAGCAGTAGAGAAGCTAGCAGTAGAAAGGCTAGCAGTAGAGAAGCTAGCAGTAGAGAAGCTAGCGGTAGAGAAGCTAGCAGTAGAAAGGCTAGCAGTAGAGAAGCTAGCAGTAGAGAAGCTAGCGGAATCCTAAGTGTGAGTGTGCGAAGCTAGCAGTAGAGAAGCTAGCAGTAGAGAAGCTAGCGGTAGAGAAGCTAGCAGTAGAGAAGCTAGCAGTAGAGAAGCTAGCAGTAGAGAAGCTAGCGGTAGAGAAGCTAGCAGTAGAAAGGCTAGCAGTAGAGAAGCTAGCAGTAGAGAAGCTAGCGGAATCCTAAGTGTGAGTGTGCGAAGCTAGCAGTAGAGAAGCTAGCAGAGTATATAGCGGAAGGCTAGCAGTGGAGAGGCTAGCAGAGCATACGGTGGGAAGCTACGAGAGTGTTTAGTGGTAGGCCAGCAGCGGAGAGAGCAAAGCGAGCGGAGCGTGGCAGGCAGGCTAGAAGAGAGGCTAGGAGAGTGAGAGAGAACAGGCGAGCAGTGGAGAGGCTAGGAGAGAGAACAGGCTAGCAGTGGAGAGGCTAGGAGAGTGAGAGAGAGAACAGGCTAGCAGTAGAGAGGCCAGGAGAGAGAACAGGCTAGCAGTGGAGAGGCTAGGAGAGTGAGAGAGAACAGGCTAGCAGTGGAGAGGCTAGGAGAGTGAGAGAGAACAGGCGAGCAGTAGAGAGGCCAGGAGAGAGAACAGGCTAGCAGTGGAGAGGCTAGGAGAGTGAGAGAGAACAGGCTAGCAGCAGAGAGGCCAGGAGAGAGAACAGGCTAGCAGTGGAGAG